GGTTCATATTATAAAATTTATTAAGTAAATTATTCATATAAAAAATTAAATTGATTGAAAATCAAAATCTCTATAATAAGAATACATTTGTTTTTTAAAAAATAAACGGATAACATTATTTTTATAATTTTTAAAAATAATTAGGATCCGATCATAGGCCTACAAATGTTTGATTAATTTGATTTTTTTACATAAATGATATGCTCAAGGAATCCTATAACATAAACTATTTGAATTATCACCCACAAAAAAAAAAAAAAAAAAACTTAGAATGGACCTCTACGAAAACTCAGAATAAGATGTTGTGACTTGGAGTTACAACAGTATCCCATGTCCATGAAATTAGATTCCTAAACCCAATTAAGGAATGCAATGTTGCGATCATCTTGATTTGCGTGCACACAGGTCTGATCTGATTCAGTTGGATTGGATAGCTAAGAGATGGACTCTCTAAGACAAAAATATATAGTTTGGTGTGATTGCCGCTCTTATTAAAATTCAGAGTTTGTTTTGGATGTTTTAAAAAAATATATTTTTTGTATTTTTATGAAAAGATGTGTAAAAAAGTAGAGAGGTGATTTGATAAAAAAAAAGATAAAAAGATAGATTATATAGGTTATGCCAAACCTAACCTTACTTATGTTGCTTTTTTTAGCCAATTATTACTAAGGCTCCGTATGGATAGATGTGGATTTTAAATCAAAAGATTTGAAGTTAAATGGATAAAAAATAAAACAATGGAAGAAGATAGGTTGACATAGAAGATATATATTGTGTTAGGATCATGGTAACTAGAAAAAGAATTAATCCTTAGCTTGATTTCAAATAACTACTTTTATGTATTTATTTTAAATCTATCATGATAATGTTATTTAACATAATCTTCAAATACATAAGTAAATTATTATATCTAAATTTGAGTTATTGTCTTTGAATGATCAAGGTCAAGTCCCTAGGTTTGAAATACAAAACCATCCAAACAGACCTTAAGTTTTTTCTTTCAACTTCCATAAACACAGATATGGATTTTAGCTACCATATGAACAGCAATTCGTAGACTGTAACAATGGCTGTAAGTGATTTCTGAGAATACACAAAAAGAAATAAACTTTAAATTTTCAAACTTGAAGGCTTTATTAGTTGTGAGAAACAACAAAACGTACTTAACTCAATTAAGCCCAATACAATCATTTGATCAAGTTGGAGTTGAGTTTCCACAGCATAAGATACAAAACTATCATTCCCTTCGCTTCCACATTCTTTTCAAAACCAAATGGAGCACAAGATTATTCTAAAATTACAATAAATAAAAATCTAAACAACTCTACTTAACCAAAAACAGCCTTTTTTCTTGGGATTGTCTACATAGATCCATTTCCTCCGGTTGACTCTTATTAGAAGTCCTAGCCATTTCCTCCAATGTTAATCATTCTACATTGCACATGGTCATATGGTTGTCCCTCATTTTATTGTCAATTGGTGTCCCTTTCTAATTATTGTTTCCCTAATGTTGTGTTTGGTTGGGGAATTTGTGGAGGGATTTGGAAAGGGAAAGGGAAAAGGTGTGTGAAACTAGGTGAAATATAGGCATGTTTTATTCACATTTCACCTACCTTTTCCATTTTCCTTTCTAAATCCCTCTCCAAATCCCCCAACCAAACACAACATAAATCATGAATGAATTAGCATAAATAAACTAGAAATAAAAAAAATAAAAAATAAAAATAGAATGTGGGTTAATTTTGCTCTCAATATCATATTAAGTTATTAAGAACACATTATTTAGAAAATTCTCTCTCCCACACACATACTCACTCCCACAAGTACACTAACACAGTTCTATAATCTCTCCACATCTAATTTAGCAAAATACAGAAGCCTCATCAAGATATCAGGTACATAAACAAAGAAATTGGGTACCTTGAGACTAAAAAAATATTATCACAAACCAGAAAAATAATTGTAAATACTCGCGGATCGGTTTTGTGCAGTTTGCGGTTCGGTTTTGACCCGCCCGCATATATGCAGTTTGGGAAAAAGTCAAACTGCAACCGCCAGCAGTGCGGTTTGCGGTTTGTGCGGAGAGATTTGCGGTTTAGATTTTTTCTTTTAAAATTAATTTTTGAGTTTTTTTTCCTATTTTATAAATATTCATTTTGGGTCATTTTCTTCCAATTTTCTAATAATACAAAATTAAAGTACAAGATCTAGTATCATTGGCAACTGCTGAGGAAATGAACGTGAGATGTAAACAAAACTCACACAAGATGTAAACAAAACCATTTTAGCAATTTTAGAATCACTACAGTCAAATATTATCATCATAGCTATTCGATACATACTATAAAATTAAATAACTCAATTGTTAAACACGAGAAATGCAAAAGAGAAAAGTAAGTGGTAACTCACAGGTGTCTAAGATATGCAAATCCTTCCGTATTCCCAAACACAAACAGATTATCTGCCAGTGGTACAGCTATGGCTGTCCCTGGGCATCGGTGGTGTGCCTTTTATCACAGGTTGACCCCATGCCCGTGTAGCTGCACACAACAATATACATATAAGAAAAAAAAAATCTATATAAATGCCAACAGTCCATGTTTTTTATAAAAAAAAAAATTAAAAATATATATATATATATATATATTTTACCATTTAATACAACAGTGGTGCGGGTCAAACCCCCAACCCGCCTGCAACCCGCAAATCTTATATATTTCAAACCGCACCCTACCCTATTCACTTTGTGAAACCGCTCATACATGTGCAGTTCGTATCGGGTAGGACGGATTGTGCTGGTTGGATAATTCTATACCCAGCCCTAGCAAGTGGGTACCTAGAAATTGAGATCTAAGGCCAAGTTTGGCAATATCAAAATAATCTATCTTTTTATCTTTTTTCCATCACATCACCTCTCTACTTTTCTACACATTTTTTCGTAAAACGACAAAAAATACACTTATTTAAGTCATCCCAAGGAGATGATCAGCTGTCAAGCACATAAATGCAAAGTCAGAGATTTCCCCAATGTGACAACTTTGTATGACCCAATTTCTTCATACGCACGCACGCATGCATGCACCCACTCTCCACTTCTGCAAAGCAAAAAACAAAATCAAAATGACCGCCTCGTTTGGGAACAGGCTTTTTTAGTACTTTTTTGGTTTTTTGACTAAAGTATGATAGTAAAAAAAAAAATTAGTATGTTTGGAATGACTTTTTGATTTTTTATGAAAAGATGTTTAAAAAGTAAAGAGAAAATGGAATTTTTGATTTTTAGTATAGATTGTTGTCTTTTTGATTTGTTTAATAACTTTTTGACTTTTAAACTAAAAAATGATGTTGCCAAACGAATCTCCTCATAAACCAATATGAAATCGAGTTCTAAATTAATGATAAGCCAAATGAAGAATGTGATTTTTATAGTAATTCAAGGACTAACAAACCAAGAGAGCTTTGAGGGAATGACCTCGCAATGAAGCCGTGGAGGAGAACATCAACTCATTTGCAGAAAAGAAGAAAACAGTCAGAACAGAAAACATAAATTTGGTATAAATCCTATTTTTCACTCTTGTATTGAAGCATAATAGTTTACTTTTTTAAAAGAATAAAAAATAAAACTTTTATTGCCTAGCTGATAAATAAAATAAAATTAATGCTTAAAAAAAAGCATATTTTTTCAACTTTTTAATCGTATTCTTCTTAAGAGTAATTAAAATGGCCTTTTAGTGAAAAAAATGAATTTGCCAAAAGCCCATTAAAAAAAATTAGTGGAATGAATTTTTTTAATCAATAAGTTGACTTAGTAGTCCATGTCAAATAAAATTGAAATTTTATATGTCATTTAAATAAAGTTTAAAACATTTTTATTTCATTTTTTAAAAATATTTTTGTTTATAAATCATTGTTCACTTGAAATATAAGGTCATATTTGATAACGTTTACAATTTTTTTTTTTATTTATAAAGAAAAAATCATATATATGCTTATTTTGATAAAAACAAAAGAAAAATACATAGAAATACGTCTGTTTAAAAAATTTGTCTTCAAAATAAGTGCGGTGACTCTCAAGGTTGCTAGAAGGAAGATTATCGGTCGTCGAGTATAGTGGTCAACAATGATTTCGAGTATAGTGGTCGGCAATGATTTATGATAGAAAATGACAATCAAAAATGATCGTCAACTATTAAAAGTGATGGCCAAAGCTTTTCTTTTTCTTTTTTTTTTTAGATTCATACAATGGATATGTAGATAGGCCACTCCATCATATCCGTCAAGGAGTATTGTCCTTTAACACCTACAGCATATGTGCAGGGAATCTCACCGCCCTACGTCAGGGCCGAAGCTTAAGCCTCCCGCGTGCTCCAGACGCTAAGAAGTGTGTTTAACCCCAACAATGAGCTATTGAGACTCGAACCCAAGTCTTGAGCGAGAGAATCGAAAGTCTTATCCACTGAACTAACCCCCTGCGGAACACATCTCTTACTGCGTGCTTGGACTCAAAATCGTGGAGCGAGCAAGGGAGTTGTGTAATTTATCCTAAATCTTATTTGGGTCCTATAATTGCAAAATGTAGACGAAGTTGCAACTTAGAAGCCCCTTAATTGCAGAATGGGTTGGAATTAGAAGCCCCTTAACATTCTTGTAGGGGAAGGACCTCAAAAATGTTATGGGCAAGACAACGGGACATGCTCCAATTTTCAAAGAGAGATGATGTTCTAATAATGGGATTGTTTGTTAAAACTTATAGAAATTGATTACAGCTTATTTTAATTTGAGAGTTTGCGTCAAACTGTTTGGTAAAAATAACTTAAATAAACTAAAAAAATAAATGAATAAAATAAATAAAAAACAAGTTATTTAGAAGCAGAGAAAGGAATACTTTTAACTTTTATTTTTTGATTATCATATTTTAGCTTAAGAAAAGCTCTACCAAACAGGTCAAGTGATCAATTAGAAAGGGAAAATCTGATCCTACAAAAAGGCAATGTTCAAGTTCATTTGTAGACTTAACCTGTACAACTTGAATAATGCTAAAATATGTATTTGTTCTTCAACGAAATATTTCACAGAGAGTATAAAGATAATAAGACACATATGGTACACGCCACGAATGTAACATCCAACTAAACTGAAAGACATTGGCTCAATCCTTCTGTTTCTGCTTCATGGTGTTGAATTGGAAAGACAAATGCTCAAAGAAAAGACAGTTCAAGAGATGAAAATTGTTGTTTCTATGCATCAATCTTGTCCACTCAATGCACAAAGGACTGCTGATTCAAGCACCTCCAAATTCTCAAGCCAATCAGTGTGGATAAGCAAAACCTAACAATTTGACTTGATCGCCCGGTCAGACTGCTAAGAGTTCAGTGAATCATCACTAGGACTCTGATCAAACCCACCATCATCTTCTGGATCAGTGAAGGCTGTCTCAGGAAAGAATTCATGATGTGGAAACATCATATGAAATAGCTGCCACACAGCAAAAGCACCAATCTCAATTAATTTTATATATATATATATATATAACAGCAAAACAAATTCCATGGGATTGAGCAGAGATAAAGACCATGTGTGGTCAAAAAGAAAAATGAAAATCCTTCTCAAAAATTATGCAAAGTTGGAAAGACAATACCTTCTTAGTTGCATCTAGAAGGTCATTGTAGTTTAGATTCCCATCTGGCATAGGGGTTGAGAAAATGGAATCAAATGAACACTGGAATCAACAAAGGCAACTATCAAAATGCCATTCTCAAGCTCAAAGATGTCAAACCAAGGACTTACATACATAACTCACTTTCATCAGTTCAATATTTCAGATTGTAAGAAACTATGGTAATAATAGAAAGGTCCATTTGCACCACATGTGAACTTTAACTCACCCTATCATATCTTTTCCTATTCACTTTCCATAACCATCCCCATTCACTCTCCTACCATATCCTGCTCCTCACAAGGTATCCAACTATCTCCCAAAAATAAATTATTGAAATTCTCATAGTACAAAAAACTTTTGAGGAGGGGACTACAGAATGGGATTAAGACTAATTGAGTTCTACTGAATAGATATATTATAGTGCCTTTTCTATATCCAATTTTCATACTAATCCCTCCTCATTACTCCTTAACCTAAAACATCGACTCCTAAATACCCAAGGATCTGTCTGTCCCCCAGAAAGCAGTCCGGAACTCGAGTAATCTTGGATTGTTACAACCATCAGAATAAAACCACTTCCTGCTGGGCTAATTGACCAGAGTGCACAGGCAACCAGAAGACTTGACATGCTTGTGGCAGCTCAATAAAACCTCCAATTCTCAAATAAAAGACTCAAATACATAGCACCCCAAAAAATCAACAAACAGCAGGAAAAGGAAAGGGACAAAAGATAAAAACTAACCGTAGCCATTTCCTGTATATATAGAGCACTCCAAAGTAAAGTGGGCTTCACTTCTGCATTCTCACTTTCATCTGTGTTGCTATTTTCAGGTGTTCCAGAAATAGGAACTGAAAAAATAGCATTTACAGCAGCATGCAGTGATTTTTTTCCTTGAATGGCATCATCACACAAAGTTGAAAGATACAAAACATACCTGCACCAAAAAAAAAAAAAAAGGAACAGTATAAATCAACTGATGCAAATTCTTCCCAACATATATCAACAATTAGCAACATACTTGCAACAAATCCAGAAGAAGAAGAGAAGAGAAAAGAAGAAGAAATGAAAGAGATGAACCTGAAGACAACGTCAATGTCGAAGCTCAAATTTTGGTCGCAACAGATTTAGGGCTTCGTCAAATTCGAAAAAGCTCACCAAGAGATTTGTATTGTATAAGAGTTTTAATCCTATGTGGCTGGTACACAAACACAAAACAGGTCAGTCCTAGCCGAAGCGCACGAAGCGTGAGCTTTGAGCCTAGGCGAAAGGTGCACGCCTCAGTGCCTTCCGTGCGCTTCTCGCAATGCGCCTCGCTTCGTCTACTTCGAGCGCCAACCCTGCGGCTCGCCTCGCTTAGCGCCTAGGCGCGCTTTTAAAACACTGATGAACATATATGGCTTTGTGGGCCTCCTAGTTAAATGAAGCAACATTTAGAAATATTTAACCACATGTTTTTATTCAATGTATGCAACCATTAATAGGTTCATTTCATTACAACAAATTTATTCCGCCTATACCTCTAGGAAATAGGAATAGACTTCTGCACCAAACACATGCTTTGTGAAGTCTATAAATAGATGTAACATCAAGAATTTGAAGCATGACGAATGAATGAGAATACAAAATTTCCCAGTAGCTTTCAAGCTAGTTGTTTGATACAATCTTATTCTTTGGTGTGATAGTAAAAGAGGTCCTAGGTGTGATCCCTAAGGTAATCTTGGCATGAGGCCTAGTTGTTCTTAGTACATAAAATGATCTTTTTTCTTTTGGGGGTAGACAAAGAGGACACTCCCTAGTTCCTTATTTGAGAAATCTCCCCTAAAACAACAAACTTAGGTTAATATCAGTAAACCTAAAAATGCACGTCCCTGTTAGCATAAAACAATTAGGAAGTGTTTTTAGGTACAAAAAGCAAAGAAGATCCTATTCAAATTCCATTTTGCTATGCAATTCTTATTGAAGAATTAGCACAGATTTAACCTAGCTGTCAATCAGACATTCCTGCAATCCGAATCAACTCAAAAGCATGCAAATTTTCTGTGCACTTATATAATGATTACATTACCATTACACCTTAGGACAATATGGAAACGGAAGATCAATTCATTTAAAAATTTCATGCGATGTGTAGTTGTGCATTGAAATGGTCTAGCATAAGTCCTCTTTTGTAGGCCTAGTTCTCAATGCTCCCACTCTGTTCATTTCACTAAATATTAGGTTTAGCATAATTGTCAAAATTTTGAAATTGATTAAAATATGTCAACATGATGAATGAAAATTTAAATCCTCATCAAGAGCATGCTACAGACAAACTTACCAAAAAAGAAAGTGTATGCAATGGGTAAAATATCTTTTTCTTTTTTTTTTATTTCTTCAGAGAACTCCAGCTGACCGACCCCGTCATCCAGTAGAAGGCCTCATGAATAAACTTTGGCTACACGCAATCACCCGCAAACTAGATGTATCAGTTAAGCCCAAGTGTTTTGCGCCCCGTGAGAATCGAACATGAAAAACCTCTGGAAATGACCCTGTAGTGGAGCTCCCATATGCAAGATTGGTGTGCTATTTAAGTTAAAAGAAGCGTTAAAAATAAGATGTGCCATCCAGTTGAAAACAGGTTGAGCATCTCAACTGTGTACACGTCAGAAAACAGACCCCTTATTGATCTTCTCTCTCTTCGAAAAGAAAAATAATCCAATATGCAGCCCATTATGAAAGCAAGATGGTAGAAGAATAGTTCACGGCTAACAATAGGTTCTTTTACTTACCTTTATCCAATCACATAATTGGATGCGCAGGCATGATCCAACCAAACCTTTACCTATTTTTCTAATCAGACTTGCACACCTAGATATTTTTTAGATGTATATAACATCTCATCCCTCAAGACCATTCTTTGGTTTGACAAGAAAATTTAACTATATTTGAAAATTGCACCATCATAAACAGAACTTCAAAATAATTGCCCCCAATTTTGATACACTCTTATTACATCCCAATTCATAGACAAACTCACTGTTAACAAATTTGAGATGCTAAATCCAACGTGTTAGCGGCTGATATTGTACAGTATTGGGCCATTAACGAGAGACAACATGCTAATCAAAATAGCTTTTCAGTCATGATAGCATGACCAATCTAACTCAAAACAAGTACAGGGTTATCAAGGGCCAAAAAAAAATTATTAATTTATTTATTTAGTTTCTTCTTGGTATAATAAGCCCAAGCACAATTACACACTAAACGAAAGATTAGGCTCAGTACAAGGTACACACACAGAATTTGAATAACAATGCATATAATAACACATTCCATTGATAAAAACAAAAAATACCTGCAACAGAAAATAACAAGAGGTATGAAAGGAAGAAATAAACATTTAATTCAAAAAACAAGTGAGAGAGAAAGGAAAATAGTAACTAACATGCCAGAAGGACAAACAGCTAAACTGCTACCTATCTGGAGAACTCTGATTGACGCAACCTGCTCAGGGTACAGAGCTGGAGAGAAAAAGAGTAGTCAATAGTATGTTGTATTTCACTCGTACAAATTTACAATAATAATTGGTGCATTGAACTCACATTTAGGAGGATATACTGCCAGAAAAGTTGAAACATCTGGCTTTAAGGAACTCTTTGTTATGCATATTCCCCTAGCCACCTTACCCCTAAAATCTTGTAGGCCAAAATCTTTTAATTTAGCTTGCAGGATATCTGGGGAAGATTTAAGTAATGGTGATGGAACAATAAATGATGGACCCAGGATTATCTGATGGCTGAATAATTCCTGACCAGAAGCCACCTTAACACCTTTGTAACTCCCACTATCCTACAAAATTTTCACAAGAACATGACAATGGAATCCATTTCACTTTAAAAATACTAAAGCTCAATTTACGACAATCGTTCATTACAGAAAATGAACACAAAGCAAATGTATATATCCAAACCTTGTCCATTAGTAGAGCATTTACTGGCATTCGAAGAACCTACACAACAGAAGTTTAAATTTAAACAAGAATTATAGCTGGTTGAAGCAAATACAACATTTCTACATCAAATGAATATTAATTTAATCCAATCAGCAAAAACAGTATTAAAAATCAAAGAAGCCACAAATAAAATGCAATATCAGTAGCAGTGCTCCACACACAGCATGAAACAACAAATGAAATTAAAAACAATTGCTATTTTTTGAAAAAAAAAAAAAAATTCGCTATCACCGATACTTTCAGCATTCATATCTGGCACAAAAGTAAGTGCGAGATGAATGAATGAGAACATGACAAATAAGATGGTTCAAGAAATTCACATGATGTAGTCATAACAAGAAATATTTAAGTATAGTGTTAGAAACTGACTACACCTGGAACAATTGCAGAGAAGGGATGCAGGACATGTTTAACAGAAATTTCTATTGGAGGTTGCAAAGGGAATTTTTTTAATTTCATGATTTTGTTGTTAGACACTGTTAAACTAAATATGAAAACAATTAATTGCTTGAGCTAACAGAAAGGGTTATCAGAGAGGCAAAGGCTCCAAAAGGGGGAACAACCCTACCTAGAAACTTCTTGCAATAACATTATCAAATAGCTCAAATCTTTTTCTAAATGAAATACTAGAACCAAATTTCCCCTCATGAGAGAGACCGTGGGTGTGTTTGGTTTGTTTTTGAAGGAGTGATTTTCAAAAAAAATAAAATTGGGGAGAGAGTTTAGATATTTTTTTGGTTTGTTTGGTTGTATATTTTGAAAGTAGTTTTGGAGTTTGGAAGTTTGGGATGATTTGATATTTTGTTGTAATTGAGGAGATGTGTGTGAGAGAAAAAGTGATTGAGAAGGAGAGGAGAGAGAAAAAGTGATTGATTGATGTGTAAGAGAAAGTGATTTTGAAAATTTTTTGAGAAAAATCACAAACCAAACAAAATTTTGGAATTTTTTTCGAAAACAGCTCTCCCAAAAACAAACCAAACAAGCCCCGTGTTTCTAGGTTTTTCACTCCATTTGGATTGTGAGGGAAGGTGAGAAAAGAAATGAGTGTGGTTTCTCAACTAGGTGAGAAAAGAAAAAAAAAGATTATACTTTCTCACTATTATGCTTGGATGAATAAAAGAGAAGAGAATGTAGTTTCTCACCTATCTTGTTTGGATAGAGTAAGTAAGAGAAAGGAAAAGAAAGTGTTTTATTTCATTTTACTAAAATAACCTTCCGCATCAATAAGTTTCATTTTTTCATAAGGGTGATTTTGGTATTTTAAACAAGTTTCATTAAGTGAAAATTAGTATAAGATCCCTCTCCCATTTTAAATAATGGAAGAGATTTACGATATTATTTTATGATATCTAAGGTCCCTTAACCTCACACCTATATATCACAAAGAAATTTGACTCTCTCTCTGTGCGATCTTCATTCTAAGGTGAGTTCATTTCTCTCTCTCTCCAAACCAAACCCTCTCTCTCTCTCTCTGCACATTCCTCTCTTTCTCTCTGCTCCTTTCTCCTCTCTCGGTCTTCATCTCCGACAACACCACCACCACCACCACCAACAACAACAACAATAACAACAACAACAGAGATCAATATCTGAATCACCTCAACAAAATTTCTCACAAAATCTCTAAACCCATTAGGAGACCCATACCCACTTTTGATCATCACCATCAGGTTCACCACCCACTTTTGATCTTACAAAATCTCTCAACCCATTAGGACACCCACACTCACACCCACTTGTGTAAAGAAAGATTGAATTCTCTGCCAATCTTCACATCGGTGCACTTGACGGTCAACCGGCCGGTCGTCTCCCCGGACAACTTGTATTTTGCTGAAAGCTAAAAATCACCGTTGGAGGGCTTGATATCAAATAGAAGAATTCGTCAAATTTTTACTCAGATTTGATGAAATATTTGGTAAACTATTTGAGATGCCCTTATGTAAAGCCACACCATAGAGTAGCAAAACGAAAAGTAGTTAACGATGTCTTTTTTATTGTAATTGATTTTGATAATAAAAATTATTATTATTTTATTAATATTTCAAAAACAATATAAGAATATAATATTTTGTGACTGATGAAAAATGTCACATGATATTAATGGATCATGTTGTATTTGCATTTACTAATTTTTCAAATAAAAATACACTAATACCAAATTCACAAAGTCCAACAATCAAATAGTCACATCACTAACAAATTAATCCTTTAGCCTCTAATCCACCGGATTGAATCTAGTGAGCTCTATTCCTACTGCAGTCTCATGTTAATTAGTTATTACTAACCCTTCCAATTGAGACAATTGAATCTTGAATAATGTTATAGGTCTTAAATTTTCTACTAAATAAATGGCCAAGTGTCTCACATGGGTGTGGGTCCGCAAAATTTCTACTAAACAAATGACTAAATGTCTCACATGGGTGTGGTAGGGGTGGTCATGGATCGGATTTGTGCGGTTTGCGGTTCAATTTTGACCCATCCATATCTATGCGGTTTGGGAAAAAGTCAACCCGCAAACGCCTACAGCGCGGTTTGCGGTTTGTGCGGATAGGGTTTGCAGATGTGTGGGCGGTTTGCGGTTTGGACTTTTTTCTTTAGCAGTCTATGAAGAACAGATTCAATTAAAAAAAAAAAAAAAAAATCATCCAATGTCTTTTAACCTTCAGATTTTCTATTTTCAAGAACATACAACATTATCTTCATTTTCTTTCTTTAAAAAAACTATATGTCATACACTTAGATGCAGACCATTTTTAAAGTAATAGTGGTCATGGTTACAGAATAAATGTTTAACCATAAACAGAAACAAGAACCTGCCCACTGATGAGTGGTAAAGTGCTAAACGATTTATTCCATCTTTCGTCTTCAGAAAATCTTTACAAACTTCCATGTTGTCTTGATCATAATCAGCCATTGCTATTGCATACAGAATAGTCCTACATGGAGAAAGGTTATTTAAGTTACTCAATTCATAATACAAAGAGGGAAAAAAAGAACTTTAGCAAGGAATCCTAAATGACCATCTAAACATATTATTGCATTGAATAGGTATGAACTCCATTAGACGAGAATATGTCTTCCACTAAAAAGCCAGCCATTGCATAGTTTACATGGAAGCATCTATCAAAAAACGCCCTGGCTTTTTCAAATTCTCTTCAAATCAAAGAAAATCTCAAAGTAAAGAGAAGACAAGGCTTAATGCAGATGTGTTACAGAGTTGTAACTGACATTATTGACACAAAAGAACATCTTAATAATATCTTTTAAAAATGGCCATTGCATGGATGGAGAACCAGTATCCCCCAAGTATATCGTTAACACAATGCTTAGGTGAGTTGCACAGATGAAGAACGTCCCTATCCACCTATTAAGATATTAAATGTAAAAAATGGTATATTATCAGGTGAACTAAATCTCGAATCTCCCTTCATGCAGGTATAATGTTAAAAAATATCATTAATTTTGCAAAGGAACAAGAAAGTTTACACTGTTGAAAAGTGAAGGCTCGATTTGGTTCCAGATAAATGAGGGGGGAAATAAAAGGAAATTGCTAATAAATGGCTACATTTCTCAACATTTCCCTTTCCTTCTTCTTTCCAAGATTCAGACATGGGATTTATTTTTTCCTTTTTCTTCACAACCCAACTAACCAAACGCCTATCACACAATGGAACCAAGAAGAGACAAACAATTATTATATTTCTTCTCAAATCCAGTTTCACTAAGGAACCATTTCCTTAACAAGATAATGGTGGAAAATGTAGGGAAGAGAAGGGGGAAAAAATCAAATTATTTTGGCTTCTAAACTTAGATTTTTGTTTCTTACCAAAAAAGCAGGAATTTGTTAACACAAAATTTTCATCAAAATAAATTTTCCTTTCTTTAACTTCACTTCTCGAATCTCCCTTCATGCAGGTATAATGTTAAAAAATATCATTAATTTTGCAAAGGAACAAGAAAGTTTACACTGTTGAAAAGTGAAGGCTCGATTTGGTTCCAGATAAATGAGGGGGGAAATAAAAGGAAATTGCTAATAAATGGCTACATTTCTCAACATTTCCCTTTCCTTCTTCTTTCCAAGATTCAGACATGGGATTTATTTTTTCCTTTTTCTTCACAACCCAACTAACCAAACGCCTATCACACAATGGAACCAAGAAGAGACGAACAATTATTATATTTCTTCTCAAATCCATTTTCACTAAGGAACCATTTCCTTAACAAGATAATGGTGGAAAATGTAGGGAAGAGAAGAAGGGGAAAAAAATCAAATTATTTTGGCTTCTAAACTTAGATTTTTGTTTCTTACCAAAAAAGCAGGGAATTTGTTAACACAAAATTTTCATCAAAATAAATTTTCCTTTCTTTAACTTCACTTTCTAGCATTTTCACTTTACATCACACCATTTTCTTTCTAATCGAAAGGACTCTAAAGCCAAAGCAACCCCCTCTATGCCAAATCAAAAAGTTTAACCCGGTAACCTGAAATTTGCAAAGCAAGTAATCACTACACATACCATGTCAAACATTTATAGAAGAAAACAACACCAATATGCTTACTGAATTACTACTTATTGTATGCATCCACTTGCATATATATGTATTAATTTTCACATAACCTGAAATTTATTTTTATTTTTTTTATAAAAAAAAAAATCATACTTTGACACAAATAACATAACAATGAAATAGAGCAATTAACAAGGGCATAGAAACAGAACAAGAACTCTCACTAACAGATATAGAAAGGCAAATACGATTTAATCTTTGGCGGCAATCGCAATTTGTTCAAAAAATCAACGAACGGACTCTCCAAATCCTCATCAGAAATCCTACCACTCTCATCACAGCTCTCCTCACCACCATCTGAACCAACAACAGCAGCTTTCAAATGCCCATCAACAAGCTTAAAAAAAATCCCCAACCTCGTCTTCACAGCTAGCCCTAAAGTCGTATCCGAAAATATTGCCGATCGCGAATCGGGCACACTCGACAACTTCCCATCGCCATCGCACACAAAGTTGGCATCAACACTCTTGAACTCCATGTAGTGACTCGCTCCCGATTTGAGCATGAGATCAACGGCCGAGTCGGCGCAGAACAAAACCCTAGGGCCGGCCAAATCCAGGTTAAATGTTCTGGAATGTTGGAGGGGTTCGGGGGAGTGGGAGGAGATGTCGAGGTCGGAGTACATGGGTCTGGAGCAGAGATCAACGGCGATGTAATCGGCGGAGGAGGAGGGAGGAGGGGAGTGGTGGGAGGAGGATTGGGAATGGAGGAAGGAGGTGAGGTCGGAGAGAGGGAGAGAGGAGAAGTGGGAGCCGTAGAAGGAGTTGGGGTCGAGGTGGAGGACTGTTTTTCCGGCAGCGGAGGCGGCGGCGGCGAGGACGGATTCCGGGAGGCCGGTGCCGACGATGATGAGGTCGAAATTGGTGGGGTCGATGGGTGGGTAGGACAAGCTGTCGTCCATTGCAACGGAGACAAGTGTTGGGGATGTCTGTCGGCGTACTGGACAGTGCGTGTGCTGGACTAATTCGCAGTGCTCAAGGACGTTGGATGTCTGGTGACGAAGGTATAGAGAGAAATAGAGAGGGAATATGTGTTTATTTATATATTCAAATATGTAGGGGTGAGCATAGTCCGATTAGATTGGATTTAGGTAAAATCAGGATCAATTTATTATTTATGGTTCTTGAAAAATTGGAACCGATTCAATCTGTTTAAATTATGGAATTAATCCGAACCAATTCATTTAAACACAAATTGGATCAGTTTAGGATTACGAATTCACATAATTAAATAACAGAAATATATATATAACACTTTAATTTCATAAAAACATAAATATAACTCTATATTAGTTCTAAAATAGTAACATGTTTTTTTATAATAGCGTTATATTGTTCTAGAATTTAAACGATCATAAAAAAATTAGTTTTACCATAAGAATTTAGACCATTATAAATTAAAACTAAAAACTAACAAACAAAAGTAATAAAAAAAGATATTATACGGATTTAGGTTTGAGTTTAGGTTTTATATAGAATAAGAGAAAATACTATGGAGGACGATATATAATAAAAATATAGACTATTTGTATACGGTCCGGATCCGTTCAAATTCGGAACCGTGAGGTTCAATCCGGAACCAATTCGTGGACTACGGATTTTTAATTCTTCAATCCGGAACCGAATCACAGATTCAAAAAATCAATCCAAACATATCGGATTGGACTGAACTGGATCGGATTACGGATTTCACGGATTCCTTGCTCAACCCTACAAATATGAATGAATCAATCGCTCTAAATCATATCATCTTACGCTGTGCTTGGTTGGGGAGTTGGGGAAAGATTTGAAAAGACAAAGAGAAAAGGTATGTAAAATTATGTAAAATATAGATATATTTTTTTTTATATTTCACCTATCATTTTTATTTTTCTTTTTAAATCTTTTTTTAAATCTTTTAACCAAACACAGTATTAATATGTATTTATATATTCAAATATGAATGTGAATCGATCGCTCAAAATCAAATCATCTTAATGTATGGAATCTGAAAGGTCGGTCAATCAATCAGTCTATATATATTATTCTATATTTATATATACTAACAGTCCCTCGGAAGTTTAAAATTGTGTTTGGTTGAACAGATTGGATAAAGAAAAATTATAATAATTTGAATTTTGAAATTATGAATCTCTCAGACTATTTGATTAGATTAGATATATATATTTTGTTTGTTTTTTCATAATATTAGATGTCTGAAAATGATTATTTTTAATAATCTAATGTTTGATTGAACAGACTAGATAAAATAAATGAACAAAAGACTATTTTACTATTTTGTAATTGTTTACTAAACCTACGTTTGGGAAGTGGATTGGCTTTTTGGCTTTTTTGGCTATTTTAGCCTGGGCTAAAAAGCT